CGTTAGTGGCGCGCGGCAACCGTCTGCCACGTCACTACGCACAGCCCCACTGCGTCACCGCGCCCGCCGGTTGCCCCCCCAACCGCGAGGGCCCCGCCGCTTTGAAACAGGGCCGCGCTCCCATCGGCCCCCGCGGCGCCGCCAATCGCCACCCGCCGCGGGCGCCATGGCAACCGGAATGCCACGTTCTTGACGTGGTCGTCTCCTTCCGCGAGCCTGACAAGTAGTCCGTTCCCGGACGCAGGGACAAGCGGCCCCGGCAGCAGCAGGGGCTACTGGGAAATGGAGTCTGGCTGTGGCCAGAGCCGCCCTTTCGCCCGGCCCTGGTTTAAGGGGAAAGGTAAGTAGGATGCGTGTGAATAGCTGCACTTACACTTCGAAGGGGTCTTGCTCTGCTATTCAGCACTGCTCAGGGGCCCGCCGGTGAAAGAGGCTGGAAACCCTTGCTCTAGTCCAAGCCCCAGCCTGAGGCAGGATTATAGCCCTGTCCCAACCATAATCTAAGATCTATAGAAGGACATCTCATGAATAACTACATACATAAATGAAAATCCCTGTCATGCCCTGCCTCCTGCTTTCCCGTGAGCGTTTGGTTAGACCTTGGAAGTTCAAGCTGTTGGTTACTGGTGCATCTTTGGTCTAACTATTTAAAAAGAAGTGATGAGTTGCCATGACGATGTTAAAAAAAAAAACTTCAAAAAAACCCTAACCCTGTGTGATGCACACAGCTGTTGAGAACTGCTCAAATCACGTTTTCTGTACTTACCAGGATCCAAGACAACTCTGAATTTAAGATGATGTCCCACGAATTAGATTCTAGACATGGACAATTTATAAATTTGTTACAGTTGTCCATGTCTATACTCTAATTTTGGAGGATCATTTTAAATTTATCCCCACCTCCATTGCTAGAGTGGGGAAAGTGGGGGCAGGGGGGGACAGGTAGCAAGAGAGGACAAGCAGCCTCCTGATCCCTACCCTTTACCTCCCCCACACACTTGTCCCCCTGGCCCCAAAGCCTGTGCCCTGGTACTTGCCCCCGCTCCTTCTCCCTCCCCACCTGTCCCCCCTACCCTGCACACCTTCTGCTCCCAGCAGCCTGTACCCTGCAGCTCTGCCTCCCCCACTTACTATCAGGCACAGTTCCTCTGCCCCATTCCTGCAAGGGCCACAGAGCACAGGGTAGCTGTCTCAGCCCAGCCATGTAGCAGGTGTGGCAGTGGCAGCAGCTCTGGCTTCTGGGGACTGATGTAGCAGCAAGGGTGGGGGGTGGAAACAGATGGACAGGGGAGACTCTGGGGGCACTGCTTCCGTTGCTGATAAGTCTATGTCCAGAGTCGCAGGGTGGGGAGGAGGTTCGCAAGCAGCTGCCATGGCTCCAACCTCAAGTCCAGGTCAGGGCCAGAGTCAGAGCTACAGCAGGTGCCTGCCCCCCACCACCCCAGCCACCTTGTACTTGAAGATGACCAGTTCCCCCCCACCCCCCACCATCATTAAATGGAGGGGGGGGGTCTTTGTCTTGGATTTTGTGCGGGCCGGGAGCGACCCGAGCCCTTTTTCACGCTGCACGCGGGCTGTGGCCAGCAGCCCGGGCACGCCGGGTTGGAGAGGGAAGGCCGTCGAGCTGGAATTAGGCACAGACGCGTATCGGTAGTTTTAAAGATTGTTTACTTACACCGAGATGGCAGTGGTGCAGGCTGGAAAGCTTGATTGAGTTGCAGTTACAGACAGACAACACAGACGGTCTTGTGGA